GTGACCCGGCCCGGCAGAGGGCGCACCCGCCGAGGAGGCCCTTAGGCGAGGCCGGCCGACAGATTGCGCGCGCACGCGGCCGATCGCCGCACACGCACCGCCTCCGCGGTTCCCCGGCCCCCCCCCCCCCGTCAGGCTGTGCTGCACATGGTCGAGCTCTCCGGGTGCGTTGGCAGCAAGCCCTGTGTTTTGGTCTGGCGAATGTTTATTCCTCCCCCTCCCCACGAAGGGGCCCCGCAGGCGCGGAGAACGAAGGCCGGAGGGCGGAGGCGACGCGCCCCACACCGCCGGGCCCCATGCCAAGAGGCGCCGGCTGGCCGGCTGGCTGGCTTGAGAGACTGCGCCAGCGCTCCTACCCTCCTCTCGCCTCCCCCCCCCCACCCCCCTCCCTGCACACACGCACACGCACACGCACACACACACACACACACACACACACACACACACACACACACACACATACACATCCCCCCCTCTCCCCTCTCCCCGACACGCCGCCCCGATGGAGATCCAGAGCTCCGCCTCGCTCCCCTCCTACCAGGACCTCTCCTGGCGACTGGATATCAAGACTGCCTCGCGCTCCATCCGCGGGCAGATGACCCCGGTCTTTGTGTTGATGTTTGTCCTGGACAAGCCGGACGGCAGTGCGCAATCCATCTGGCGGCCAGCCGGCCGGCCTTTTCGCCTCGCGTCGCCCCGCCTCGCGCCCTCGCTCCCCTTCCATGCTGCCTGCTTGCGATTGACCCCATGCACGCCGCCCCGCTCAGCCACCGAAACCCGGGTTGTCGAGGCCGATCCCAACACCATCGGCCACCTGGCCCAGACCCTGGAGCTGGCCCTGCGGGAGTCCTCCTCGGCCCACTCGCGCCGTGTCACCCGCAACATCCACTAGAGCGATCCTCCTCCGGTGGCGGAGAGGCCCGACGCGTCGCGCCGACCACGCCCGGCCCCTCCTCTCCCACTGCCGGCATCCCTCGCCCCACAAAACATGCCACAATAAATCACACAAAAGCTCCGACGCACATGCCCCTGGCAGGGGCGGAGGCCCGGGGGAGGGGGGGGGAGATGCAGGAGCGAGCAGGGCATCCTGCTCGATTGCAGGCGGCATCCGGGCATGCCCCTCCCGGCTTCGCACCACCACCGCCTCCGCCGCCGCCGCCGCCGCCGCCGCCGCCGCCCCCCTTCGTGCGCACATACTTTTATCCTCGCCCCGTCGTCCCCCGACGCGCCGCGGTTCAAACAACGAGCAGGGGCCGGGGCACATCGGCAAGAGCCCGTCCCGAACGAACGGCCTGTCATGTGTATTTCCATATCACGTGTCCCCTCTGAAAATGGCTGGCGCTCCAACGGGAAATTGGCCGCCGGCCAACCCTACCGGGAGGCGGCGGCGGCGGCGGCGGTGCGCGCGGCCTCACACCGACGGCAGTGCTGCGACACAGCGCACGGGCTATGGTCGCCATCGGACATTTGTTTTCCCCAAGGGTAAGGTCGTGTGGCTCGAGACCGGGAGAAAGCACGGGGGGGTGCGTGTGTGGCGTGTGCGAGGCAGGTGCCCCGGGGTCTGCTCGGTGCTGGCGCAAGTGAGCGCGAGCTGGAGACGCCGAGGGACCATGGTGTGACTGGCGCGGCGCCCCCGCCCGTCCCCCCCCCCCCGTGCCTGGGCCAGGGCCTCGGCGCGGCTGGCCAGCCGGGCGCGCGCCCCAGTCTGGCGGACTCGGTGCCGGTCTCTTCTCGCCTGTGGGGGGGGGGG